GCCCCTGCCCCAGGGCCCCCCAGCCCCATGGCTCCTGCCCCGGGTCCCCCCTCAGCCCCATGGCCCCTGCCCCAGGTCCTCCCAGCCCCATGGCCCCTTGCCCCAGGTCCCCCCTCAGCCCCATGGCCGTTGCCCCAGGTCCTCCCAGCCTCATGGCCGTTGCCCCAGGTCCCCCCTCAGCCCCATGGCTGTTGCCCCAGGTCCCCCCTCAGCCCCATGGCTGTTGCCCCAGGTCCCCCCTCAGCCCCATGGCTGCTGCCCCAGGGCCCTTGCTGCTCCAGGCTCCCTGTCAACACAGGCCCCACCACTGGCCCACGTCTGCTGCCTGAGTGCCCTGCTGTCCCCATGGTGGCCCACATCAGCAGGCCGTACTGGGGGTCCAGGCTGGTGAGCTGCGACAAGAGGAGGCTGCTGCTCTCGGTGATGGTCTGTTTGGTGGAGGCGGCCGCCAGGTGGCCCTCAAAGGCCAGGATGTCCTGCTTCTCCCGCTGGGAGATGTGCAGCTCCCGGCTGATGACCTCAGCGCGCGTCTCCTCATCTGTCAGAGTGCATGGCGGGTACGAGTAGTTGCTAGGACAACAGGGACGTGTCACTCATATCAGAGACCCACCCTCAATGGCACGATGGCACTGTGGTCAGACAGCTCACAGGGCTCTGAGGACAACCACTATGCCAGAGCAGATGGTGCAGGTGGCTGGTGTGGGCCCCCCCCCAATGGATGGCAACTCCTGTCCTGAGTCCTGAACTGCCCTCTCATGAGCCAGCTGTCCACCTGACGCACTGCCTGCACTTGCCACAATACCGAGCCAGGCCCTCTCTGCCCCACCCTGGTGGCACTGTGCTCAGCAGCCCCCCACCCTAAGGACTCACTTGGTCATCACCATCTCCATCAGCATTTTCAGAGTGGGGTACTCCTCCCAGGCAGCTAGACCTGGGTCAAGAAGAACGGAGCATGCTCAGCGGGGATATTCACCAGCCAGGCCCCACACAACTGGAACCCTGCTCCCAGTGCAGCCACAGGTCACCACTCCGGGGCCTGACCAACAAGTCCAGCCCCTTCCCTGCACCCAGACTGCCAGGGCTACTCACCGATGTTCTCGGGGTTGAAGGCAGCAACAACCAGAAGGAGCGGCCAGGCCTTCCAGTACAGGGTGGAGATGGCAAGGTTTGGGGGCTGATACCTGCAATGCAACCAGGGTCACACCTGTGACTGCATTCTACGTGGCACAATGAGGTGTCTGTCGCAAGCTCCCAGAGGGCCTGTGAGCCTCCCCGCCTCCTGTGTGCACTCAGGAGAAATGACCACGCGGGCTGCTCTGCAAGGACCAGTCACCAGGCCCGACTAGCGCAGGACGGGCTGTCCTCCATCACGGGACACTGACAGCTGACAGAACAGAGAGGTCTTGGAGAAATGCAGACAGAGTGCTCCTTAGAAGCAAGGACGGAAAAGCTCCTTCTGCCAAGAGGGCCCAGTCCTGGGAAAGGGACGTGCTGCGTGGGAAGGTGGAGGGACGCTCCTCAACGAGAGGGACTGACACGGTGACCGGAGCAGTGGGCTCAAGTGTGAGAGCGAGGGACAGCCCAGGACAGGACAGGCTCAGTCCATGTTCACAGGGACGCTGGGGGTCATGCTCAACTCGACGGCCCCTGCCAACAACCCCAGCCTGTCCCGGGATGGCTGCCGGCTCCCGCCAACCCCCACAGGTCCCTAAGGGTGCATGTCACCCGGAGCACAGCGTCTCAGCCAGAGGGGCTGGAGACCTGACTGCTGACCTTCCAGTTAACAGCTGAAAATGAACCACCGTGCCGCAAGGACTCTGGCAATGGAATACCGCTGTTATGTGCTGTCGAATCACCGGCAACTCACAGCAGCCCTATGTACACAGCTCTGAAGCTGCCCTGTCCTGAGCCAGTCTCACTGACGCCGACACACCAACCCCCATTGCCCCAGTTACTATCAATCCATCTCATCTGGGCTCTTCCTCTCCTGTGCTGTCCCTCTATCCGTCCAAGCACGATGTCCTTCTCCAAGGACTGGTCTCTCCTGGCCATGTGCCCAAAGTATGTGAGACGGAGCTTCAAAATCCTAGCCTCCAAGGAGAGACTTGGTTTCACCCTCTCCAAGACAGACTTAGGTGTTTTCTTGGCAGGCCATGGTATATTCAAGCATACTTCTCCAGCACCACTCAAAGGCCTCAATCTTTTTCTGTCATCCTTAGTCATCGTCCAGCTCTCTGAAGCATAATAATTGCCAAAGCCACGCCCTCAGCCAGGCACACCTTAGTCTGCAGACTGACATCGCTGCTTCTCAGCGCTCTGTCTCTCCCTGAGAGCACATTCCCCAGTGCAGCTGATCGTATGACTTCCTGACTGCTGGTGCCAAGTGTTGAGAGGAATACTACGAACTGACATGCGGCACTGAGACACGCAGTAAGCACCAGGGGAAAGAAGCCACGGTCCCGAGGGGAAGCCAGGCACAAGCGCCACGTACCCTTCATACTAAACATTCCAAAAAAGGCAAGGCTGGCTCCAGAACGGGGACGATTGGGGCTGGGGGTGCGTGGGGGCAGTGGCAGGGTGGGGTGTGGCTGGCCAAGTAGCTCAAGGGCACAGGGGTACAGGCTTCTGTGTTTTTAAATCCCAGCTAAAACATCGATGACCCTGAACCCTGGTGGAAGAAGAGTGTTGTCACACTGAAAAAACCTGCACCTAACGCTAAGGAAGAAAGGGGCACACAGGCCGCACTGAAAACGAGTGCCTTTTCCATCAACTCCACCCCAACTGTGGTAACGAGAACACACACTACCAGCCTGTGTGCCACGCGCATTCATGCCCTGAGACGTGTGTGCCTGAGCACACACGCACGTGCACGCACGCATGTTCCCACGCCTGGCTGCTAAGTCTTTTTCCGAATCATGCAAGCCTCCATCAGCTGAGTGTGTACATTTCCTCATCTCTGTCCCTTGGTGAACTCTGTGGATTTGAACCACCAACCTTCTGGTAATCCACCTGGGTTCCGTATATGGACTCACGTACATGTGTACGTGTACCCGTAAAACTGGGACAGTCTTTGTCACCGCCATCACTGGACTCACGCCGCTGCCATGGATGGAAGTGCCATGAGCAGACCCTAGCTCGGGCCAGGGCTCCTCCCAGACAAGGTCAGCATCTGAAGCTGGGACAGAGGAGCCAGGTGCATGGCGGAGCAGCCCCCGGGACCACCTGCAAACGCCACTGATTCCAGCAGGGCGCTCAGCAAGGCGAGCCTCAGCTCACTCTCGTACAAAAGCCTGGCAAAGCAGCAATGAGCAGAGGGGTCGGGGGACAGAGATAACACAGACGGGAGCAGCGGGAACAACCCGCCCTCTGAGGGCTCCACAGGACAGGCTGTGGGCTGCCAAGTCCTCTTCACTCAGGACAGTCCTGGGCACACAGGCCCTGCGGTGTCTCCTCATGCGGTCTCAACCAGGACCCAGGGCAGCACCCGCGTGGGGCCTCACCTGGGGAGCAGGGCAGCGTCCACATGGGGTCTCACCCCTCACCCCCACCCCCCAGGCCCAGAGCAGCAGGAGGGCAGCACCCGCGTGGGGCCTCACCCGGGAGGCAGCTGGATGTTCTCGGGGTGGTGATAGGTACACAGGTTCAGGACAGCATCAATGAGCTGGACCCTCTCCACCTTCAGCACTTCCACGTCTAGAAGCAAGAACACAGGCGCAGAGGCCCGAGGGAGCACTCAGCTGACGCCGTCTGGGGCCTGGGAACAATCCACGTCCCAGGGACGCAGTCGAGGCCTCCCAGCAGGGTGCACGAGGTGGACTGGCGCAGGAGGTAGAGGGACTCACCGTCAGCCTGCACGGCGGCTGCACGCTTCACCAGGTGGTCGGCGAGCTCCATGGCGTCTGCGGGGCCGAGTGGGAGCTCCCGGGACAGCCCAATGACCAGGATACGCATGAGCGTGTCCTCCAGGATGGGCACTTCCGAGCACAGGCGCAGGAAGAAGCTGGGGCAGAGAAGGCCGCACTCAGGGGCACAGAGGGGCTGGCAGGGCAGCAGGACAAGAACAGGCCAGTGCCCAGTTCACGAGCAGAGACACAGAGGGAAGGAGGTCCAGGCCCGGAACACAGTGGGAGGTAGGTGAGCCGGGCCGGGCAGACGGACACTGTGTTCTCCAGAAACCAGACATGGGCCCTGGAGGGGCACTGGGATTCATCCGGGTGTCTGTGGACACCCTGAGACGGAACTTCAGGGGGAGTGGTAACTTTAGGGGGTGCTGGGCTGGAGTCTAAATTGTTGAAGGCAAGTACAAGACCCCTGGGAACGGAGGGGTTTCCACAAACGCCTCACGGATGAAGGGGCTCCAGGGCTGGGGGCTGTACCACTAGGACAATGAGAAGGTCACGCGCCCCAGCAGCACCCTGCACCCTGTGGACAGCCCATCCCCCACTATTCAGGTGCTCACTTGCGGTCACTCTCAGGGGGCCAATTGTCCCACTTGTAGTAGGTCTCTGGCTGCTCCGTGAAAAGCACCTTGTGGAGGCTAGGAGAGGAGGGGCCAGTGGTTGGTCAGAGTCTAGGGTGCCACCCCACCCCGCCCAAGAAGGCCTGGGAACGCCAAAGCAGTGTTGCCAGATGACTGGGTATCCCACAGACAGGACAACCTGGCCACAGCACAGAGCGCCTGGGTGAGGGGCCACTGGCGAGGGCAGAATTCCAGCCACGAGCCCTTCCCGCCACGCACCAGTGCACGTAGTCCTTGGAGGCCAGCTTGCTGATGGAGGGCACCACGGTGTGCAGCCACCACACGGCGTCCCGCTGGATGGCCGCGATCTGGTTCTGGAAGGCACGGAGCACCTCGAGGTCTGGAAGAGTGAGTGGGGCTGGGCATCATTCAAGGGTCGGAGGGGTCACCAAGGACTCAGGGTCCAGCTCAGGCAGGCTGGGCGGGCATCCCTGGGCACCTGGTCCTCACAGGATCCATCTCAGGGTTAGGAGACGATGGGTGGGCACTTGGCCCTCGCAGGATTGAGCTCAAAGCTAAGGGAGACTGGGCAGGACCCCCACTGGGTACCTGGATAACGTGGAATCAAAGGAAACCCAGGTACCTAATGATGAAAGCCACGACCAAGGGTCCAGGAGGACCCATGATGAGCACACAACTCCCCCCAAGCCCTGAGATGTCCACAGTCCTGCAGAGGACCCTCCGGTCCTGGGCCCTGTCCCCTTAGCATCCTCTACAGCCCATCCTCCCCCGTCCTGAGCCACGTCTCCTCCATGGCCATCCTCCCATCCTCAAGCATGTCCCCTCAGTGTCCTCCATTCTCCACAGTCCACCCTCGCCAGTCCTCGGCCACGTATCCTCGGCACCCTCCATGACCCATCTTCCCTCATCCTGGACCACGTCCTCTCAGTGTCCTTCATTACCTCTCCCGTCCTGGGCCACCCACTGCCACGCCAGACCCTGTAGCTCCTGCCCAAGCCCCCCAGCTGCCCACCCGTGGCCTCGGGCCTGCTCTGCTGACACTCACTCCTCTTTTCGCCCTTGTCCCAGGCCATCCCGGCCTCCTTCACCTGGGCCGTGATGCCCAGCATCATGGACACAGCCAGCAGGTCTGTCACATGGATCACAAAGCGTTCCTGCAGGGAAGCACGCAGTCAGCACAAGGCCACACCACACAGGCCAGGGCGATGTGGGCCAGGGTGGGAGGGCCAGGAATACTGCACCAGGAGGAGCAACCCTGAGGGGCTGACCCAGGACACACCCACGCTGGACCCTCTGAGCAGACCTGCAGCTCCTCTGAGCAGCCCCACCCCTGCCCTGCCCACTGGTCACCTTGAACTCCATGTCCAGGTGCGGGGGCTCCTTCCGCTCCTGCATGAGGCCCAGGCACAGCGCCTGAAAGTTGATCTCGTGCTTGGTCTGCTTGATGATCTCACGCAGCAGGGCCCGCGACGCCCGCAAGTAGTCATCCTTGTTGGTCAGCAGGTCCTGGAACACCATGGCCAGGAACTGGGCAGAGAGGGGCCGCTTAGTGCTGCAATCGCCACGCACCCCCTCTGCCAGTCCCACCAGAAGAGCACCTCGGACCCTTCACAGGATGAGCTCCACGAGGGGCACTGTCCCTGCCTGTCCCTGCTCTTGGCTGCTAGCTGTCATCAGCGTGGGGGCTGAACCTCAGCACTCCTCCTCCTCCAATGGAACACTTAGAGTCAGACGTCGACCCCCAAGGCCACCTCTGCGGGTCAATCTCGGCCAGAACAGACAGGAGTGGCTCGGGGGAGCACTGACCAGGCGGCTAGTGGGGAGAGCTAACCAGAAGGCTCAGGGGTGTCCTGGCTGGGGGAGGGGGGGAGCGCCGACCAGGCGGCTGGGGGGGGGGCGCTGACCAGGCGGCTAGGGGGGAGAGCTGACCGGAAGGCTCAGAGGTGTGCTGACTGCTGACTTCTGGACTAGGAGCTGAGTGCTTAACCACTGCACCCCCAGGGCCCCAAGCTGGGCCTGGACCTTCTGAAACTGTTTCCAAGGGAAATGCAAACCAGGGCTGGGCCCACCAGGGAAGAGACAGACAGCCTATGGAGCACACAGCTGTCCTGGTCAAGTGAAGAGCAGGTGGCCAGGCAGCATGGGCACCCCAGGAGGGAGAGAAGGCAGTGCTGTGGGTGGGTGGGCACGGGGTCCCCCGCACCTTGGGAGCCAGCTCGGCGCTGTGCTGCAGCACGGTGTACAGGATCTGCATGTTGTTAGGGTTCCGGGCATTGGACAGCTCATTGAAGACCACAAACTTGATGGTGGTGCCCAGATTGTCCTTGTGGGCGTTGAGCAGCTCCCTGGGGACCGGCCAGGCAAAGCATGCAGATGTGGAGGGATCCCCAACCTCGATGCTGCCCAGCCCCCCACCACTCCCAATGCAGCTGACACCTGGCATAGCATGTAGTGGGTGATGGGAGGCCCCTGCCTTCCACAGCCTTCTCACCTGACACACAGCGACTGAGGGGAGCCCAGTGCCCCCACATACCTGACACACAGCACACAGCGACTGAGGGGAGCCCGCTGCCCCCACATACCTGACACACAGCATGTAGTGATTGAGCAGTACTTTGGGCTTGAGGCGGATCTTGATCAGATGGGAGATGACGTCCACGTCCTCGGCCCCATGGGTGTTACAGTTCATGCACACAGACATCAGCAGGTCCTGGGCCGGCCGGGTCAGCTGCAGGGGGACAGACGGGACCTCCTGCTCAGCCTAGCCTCCTGAGCACCCACTCAGAGATTCAGCTCAGGCGCGGTTAGGGTGCCCTCTGCCTCTCACACCACTCACCATGGGGTCTCCCTCAACCTCACCCCCTGCATTCTCTCTCCACCCTCCACAGCCCTCACTCTGGGTCTTATTCAGCCTCCACCCCTCAGGAGACCCTGCTCAGGCCTGGCGTCACCCTACCCTACATTACTGACCTTGGAGTTCTGCTCGGTTCTCCCCTCAGTGTCCTGTCCAATCCTGGCAACCTCCTGCCCCCACAGCATTTACCTTGGGATCAACCCCTCATGGGGTACCACTCAGCCCCAGCATACCCTTGGCTCCCCAAAGCATTAACCCTGGGGTCCCACTCAGTCCCCCACAGCTTTAACCCTGCTGTCCTCCCGAGTCCCCCACAGCATTACCCCGGGGTCCCCCTCAGTGTCCCACAGCATTAACCCTGGGGTCCCCTTCAGCCCCCCACATCATTTCCCCTGGGTCTCGCTGAGCCAGGCATGGCCCCGGGTGCTCACCTTGGGGTTCTGCAGCCACATCTCCAGCTTCTGCACAGTCATGAGCCGCACCTCCTTGTAGCCACAGGTGGAGGTGAGCAGCCGTAGCAGGTTGCGGGAAACATTGTCAATGGGCTGGCGGCGCGTGAGCTGGTCCCGCAGCACGTCCAGCACATACTCCTCCACGCTCTCCGCGAGCTCATCATACCTGCGCAGGGCGGAGGGATGGGCACTCACGCCGGCTCGCCCCGCCTGCCGCCCGGTTCTGGATGCCCTGAAGCAGCCGACAGGACACCCACCTGGGCATGAGCTGGCCCTCCTGCTCGGGACTCAGCTTCTCCTCCGCGATCAGCAGCTCTGTCTGGCTGTCCTCCTCCTCGGTCATGGAGGGGTGCGGGCTGTTCCCTGCACACACCCCCGTGTGCTCAGATCACAGCAGCCCCTCACAGGACACCCCCCCCCCCCCGCGCCCTCTTTCATCCTCTCAGCCCCTCACCAGCGCTCAGATCCCCTGCACTGCGCCCTGCCTCGCCCTGCAGCAGCACGCTCTTGGGGGGCATCCTGGTGTTGAAGGCCGTCTGGATGTTGTCCACAAAGGTCTTGCAGTGCTGGCTGTCCACCCAAATGCGCTCGCCCAGTGAGTCCTCTATGTACACCTGCGGGGAGGACCAAGTGCCTTGGCTGAGCCCAGCCTGCTGCCTGGCCCAGCCTGCCCTGCACAGACACAGAGCCCACTGCCGAGCGAACCCACACAAGCACACACCCTCTGGCCCCAACTCCACGGCCTGGGCCCACCCTCAGCTTTGCTCTATAGAGATGCAGCAAGGTGTGTGCTACTCGAAATGACGTGGCTGCCAGGGCCATCAGAAGCCCAGTCCCACGAGGAAAGGGAAGCAGCAGCGAGGGGACAGGGGACAGGAGTGGGAGGCATCGAACTAGTCCCGACAATGACTTTCCAGGAACCCAGCAGGTCACCTCCACCGGCACTACCGGAGCAGGGACCTGGCCGGGGCCAGACACACCTTGACGAAGATCTCGGGCCAGTTCTCGTCCTCTTCATAGGCAGCCATGAGGAGGTTGCAGGCCAGCACGGAGACCAGACTGTTCCCCTTGGCCTTGAAGTTGATAGAGGCATCTCGCCGCAGGAGGCTGCACAGGGCCTAGGCGAGGCAGGGCTCGGTCAGGAGGCCAGGCCAGCCGCAGGGCCCGAGGGTCTGGGGAGGGCCCACTCACCTCAATGACACCCTCCGTGGCAAAGATATTGGGCTTGATCTTGGCCAGGTACATGAGGCTCAGGTAGAGCGTGCTGTCAGGCTTGGCCCGCGTGAGCCGCAGCTGCTTGGCTGCCCCGCACAACACACCCTCGATGCGGTCGTCGTTACCCTCTAGCTCAGCCGCCTCGATCTCGTCCAGCAGCACCGTGGGCAGGACTGGGGGGGGGGGCACGTTCAGGTCAGTGCACACAACGGGAGATGCCCACCACTCCAAAGCTCAGGGACACGGATGGGCCACCAGCAAGCATGCCAGCGGGGACTCCTCTGCACCCCCACATGTCAGGCACACACTACCTCAGTCTCACCTAACGACCCCTGGGTGGTGCAAGAGCCCAATGCTCAGCTGCTTACAGAGAGGTCAGAGGTTCAAGTCCCCCAGAAGTACCTTGGAGACAAGTTCTGGCCACCAAATGCCAAAAGGTCAGAGCCATGTAAAGCAGGGGCAGCAGAGCTGGACGCTGACACACACACGGTGCTGCCAGGCAGGCCGATCAACAGTGACTTTCTTAAAGAAGCCAAGCACCCTGCGACAAAGACGTGACCCCGACACACAGGAGCCTCGCCACCCAAAGGTCTCCAAGCTGTCAAGAGCAGACTTGCAGCTTTTGGAGATGCTGATGGCCTTGAACCCCTGACCTTCAGCTAGCAGCTGGGCAACTGACCTAGTGCTGGAGACACGGCCAGGGCACTCACTCCTGCTGGACTGACCTCACGTAGCCCCTACGTCCTGAGAAGTCTAGGGAACTAGGTTACCTTCGATGGGTACCACGGACGGTTCCTTAATTGAGGGAGAAATCGCTCGCTTCTCTGCTACCGCGGCCTCGGCCAGGCGTCCCAGGGCACTCAGTGGGGGCGTGGAGGAGAGTTTGGGGCGCTTGGTGAGGCCGGTGAGCGCAGAGGCACCGGCCAGCGCCGCCGTGGCGTCCCGCTTGCGTTCGGAGGGCAGGCCAGGAGGGGCCGGCTTCAGCAGGGTGGAGGGCGTTTTGGACTCACTGGCCTGTCCCTTGGAGCCCAGGGCAATGAAGTCACCCGGCGGAGGGTGTCCTGCAGAGAGAAAGGAGGCTGCACCATTACAGGGTGCGGGCAGGAACGAAGCCCAGGGGCCACCCGCCTCCAGATGCTGCAGCCCCCACGAGAGGAGGCCCCTCGGCGGGATGGGCGCAGTGACCGCTGCGGGGGGCGTGAGTGTCAGAGGCGACGGCACAGGATGGGCGTGAGACGCACTGCACTGGACAGCACTGACCACAGGCACACGGCCGGCGGGCAGCCCGCCTCTAGATCGCAGAGCTGCCCTGCAGGACTCTGCCCCGCTCCTGGACTCAGGGAGGGGACGCTCATGGAGACGCACGGCCTCCTCGGCCTCGGTTCCCCGGTATTTCTGCGTTATCTGAGCTTTCGAAATGCTCAAGCCAATTCAACGCGGCTGCACTGAAGGGACCTCCCGGGGACCCGGTAAGACAGCAGGACCGTCCACTGGCGTGCGCGGCCGCCTCACGGAGGTCTAGGGGCTCGAACCCCCGACCTCGCGGTCATCGGCTCGCCCAGGACGGCCACTGGCAGCACCCTGCAGGCGGGGCGGGGCAGCCGGGCGCCGCCAGCACCTTCGCGCGATGCGAGGCCCGCGGGGCGGGCGGGACCGGGGGACACTCGCCTGAAGGCTTGGCGGCGGCGCTGGGCCTCCGGACCGCGGCGGCCTTGGCCCGGTTCATCCTGCCCCGGGCCCTCGCCGCTCCTCGCCGCTCGCGCGTGCCCTGCGGAGAGAGCCGGCTTGGGGTCACTCGTTCGCCCGCGCGCTCATTCATTCGTTCCTGCGGCGCGTGGGGCGGAGCCGGGGCGCGGGGACCGGCCGGAGCCGCCCGGACGGCGTGGCGGCGGCGGGGCCTCGGGCAGCCGGCCGGCGGGACAGCGGTGCGATCCGGCCCGCACTCACCTCGCGCGCACCGCAGTCCAGCCTCGGCCGCTCCAGGGCCGGAAGCACAAGTGCCACTCGGAGCCTGTGCGTCCCGGGAACCGGAAGCAAAACAGCGCGGCGGGGGCGGCGAGAGAGGAGCGCGAGGGCCGCGCGGCGCCTGCAGCGCCCCCTGGCGGCGAGGAGGATGGCCGGGGCGTGCGCGCAGGGGGCAGGGGGCCCGCACCCGCGGGGTGGCGGCGTGGCTGGGATGACTGACTCCGAACCCTGCCTGCCCAGAGCCAATCTCAGCATCTCTGACACGCCTGCCCCCCTTGCTCCACTTACTGTGTCAATCCATCTCCTCCAGGGTCTTCCTCTCCTGTGCATGACGTCATTCCCCAAGGACTGGTCCCTCCTGGAAGCATGCCCACAGTATGGGAGACAGAGCTTCAGAGTCCTAGCCTCCAAGGAACAACCTGCCTCGCCGTCTCCAGGACAGAAATGTCTGTTCTCTTGGCGGCCCACGGTATGTATATTTAAAACTCTTCTCCAGCACCACAACTCAAAACCATAGATCCCTCTGTAATTAAAAAAAAAATCAAAACCCTAAATGCACTGCTGTCTAGTTGCTTCTGACCCATATCGACCTTCTATTGATTTCCAAGGCTGTAACTCTACTCGAGGGTACTTGCCCATATTTCTCGGGTGGTCCAGCAGGCGTGTTTGAGCTGTTGACCTTTCAGTTATCAGAAGCACTTAACCATCATGCCACATGATGCATGACATATCACAAATGTGTCATCTGTACCTCAAGAGATCAGGAGAGTATTGCTTTGGGCCCTGAGAACTAAGAGTCAATGTTTCACTTTGCGATACTTTATTTCATTCTGTTAGAGGAGCACTGTGTACTAACCTACTAACCGGGACACCTTCTTCAAGAGGCCCCAGGGCAGTGGAAACAATTACAAGCCAGGAGCCTGAGAACCAGGATCCAGTTCACCACCGTTCAGAGGCAGCCATTCCTCTCTAGTCTTCCTTAATCATTACCCAGAAGCCCGAGGTCCACGTTTCGGGTGTCTGCAGCTCCCTCGGGAGGATCCAGAGGTATGTTGTTCCTGGTCTCGTCCGGCTTCTGCTGCCTCTGCAGCCTGGCTCCTCTTCATGTCCAAGCTCGCGACTCTTCATGGCGCTGCTCAGATCCTGTGCTTGTTACAAACAGAAGGTCTCTAGCAACTCTGGCCCAAGAAAGCTGACCGTGCCATTTTCCTTTCTTGTGGTTTTTTAAAAATAAGTGTATGTAACAGTGCTTCCTCTTGCTCTTAGTCTCCTGCTCAGCACCGTTCTCCTCACAGCCCAGGAGCAGTGGCACCCATGAGCAGTCTTCACGTCTCACCAGGTCTTTGTCTCGCTGAGCCACTGGGTTCAAAACTACCAACTTTTCAGTTAGCAGCCCAGCGTTTAACCCACGTGCCACCATGGCTCCTTGGCCTCAATTTACCCACTTGGGAAATTCAAGAGCGGAAGTCTTGACCCTCCCGGGACAATGGGGCAGCCTTCATGAGAGGTTCTCATGGAGCTGGGCTCCAGGCCAATGACTAGCCATCACCTCCTGTGCAGAGTGGACAGCACCTTGGCCCTCAGGAGTCACTGGACCACCCTGGGGGCCGCGCCACTCTACTTAGCAGCCACTTCAACACCCTGGATACCTCCTGCCTAACGCATTTCAATCTTATGATCAGCAGTCGTTGTTTCATGGTTTCAGAATCTCGCTGAGGGCCCAGCATGGAATTGGCCCCCAAACCCATCCAGTGGAGATTTCCAGGATTTCCTGTCCTCAGACATCCCAGTTGGAGTACCTAAGATGAAGTCCTGCCAACACAGAAGCCATTGTCCTGAGCCTGGCTGGCAGGATCGTGGTAGCCTGGAACTCGGGTTCATCTGAGCCTCCACTGTGCAGTGTGGGGGCAGAGCCTGGCCATAGAGTGACAGCCAGAGACGGGGAAGCACCTTTCAGTAAGAATCTGAGAAAGACGTTTGGCTGCACGGGGCTTTAAATCCATTAGCCGCCTCGGGACGTGCTTCCAGCTTGAATTTAGGCCAATAGGATGTCGTCGCTGGTGGGTAACGTGGGGTGATATCGTGGGCCTGTGGGATGACGTCGTGGACCCATGAGGTAACGTCATGGCTGGTAGGGTGATGTCAGGTGACGTCATGGCTGGTGGGGTGATGTCATGGGCCCATGGGGTAACGTCGTGGGCCCGTGGGGTGACATCATGGACTGGTGGGGTAATGTCATGGCCAGTGGGGTAACATTGTGGGCCCATGGGGTGACATTGAGGTCGGTGGGGTGATGTTGTGGGTCCGTCAGATGACATCATGAACCGGTGGGGTGACATTGTGTCCGATGGGGTGATGTGGAGTGACGTGGGGTGACGTTGTGGCCAGTGGGGTGACATGGTGGGCAGCAGGGCGACGTCATGGGTGATGAGAAAGCGTTCCCTTAGGTCTCTGACCTGAGGTCAGAGGTCAGAGCTATGATGTTACCAAAAAGAGAGTGAGTGTCCGCTGCAGACCGTGGTGTGCAGGAGCAGACTTAACAAAAAGGGTAGACCCGATAAGGCCTTCCTCAGTTGTTCCCTAGATTAAGAGGCCAGGGTGTCGGCCTGATAAGGCAGTGGCTTTCAATGGTCCTTCTAGACAAAAAGGATGCATGTTCCAGTGTTATTAAGGGAAGGTCAGTGCCCAGCTCTCACGGCACTCCTCCAGCACCTTCCTGCTGGGCCAGCTCCGTTTCGTCCACTAGGGCTTCTGGGAGTTGGTGCTGGGCTTTGGCTGGGTTTGCATGGGGAAGAGAATGTGTAAATCCAACTGCATCTTTTCCTGTAAGTTGTTCCATGATTTACTGGAAAGCCCACCTTCACCGTGTTAAATCTATTTTAGTGTTTTGAAGAATCAATGCCTCTGACTTGTCTTGGCGAAGAGTAGTGAATATACCCTGATCTACCAAAAGGAAGGGGGCTCAGGCAGCCTGGCAGGTCAAGGTTGTGCAACCCTTCCCACTACTTCAAATCCACCGACTGCTCCAAAGGAGGAAGACCAGCCATCTCCCCTCCTGTAGGACCTACAGCTCCGCAGGACCAGCTAGGATGAGACTTGGTGAGCCAGGGGTCAGTTCACAACAAGAGCAGTGGTGAACACGTTGTGGGGAGACAGTGTGTGCTGACGCACACAGAGGTGAGGCATTTGTGGTCAGATCAGCAACACTTGGTCTTGGTGATGTGGAACACGATGAACACACACACATCTCTTTATTGAGCTTCCAAGATTCTCTTTTTACAGGTTGAGAGTCTGTCGGCACCATTTTCCAGTAGCAGGTGCTCACTCCCATCCGTGTACATCTTGGTCATTCTGACACTGTCTCCACCTTCCTGCTGCTTTTACAGCACTTCATGGGGCAGAGTGCCAGTGTCACTGTTGTCTAAGTGGGGCACAGAGGCCCCTGTTGTCCCTTCGTGCAAGTTCTGCTTGATTACATGGTCTAGAACCAGATCTGGGGAGAGTGGATTGTTGTTGTTATGTGCCGTCGAGTCGCTCGTGACTCATCGCCACCCTGTGTACAACAGCTCTGAACCCTGCTCTATGCTGAGCCAACCTTATTGTCTCTGACACACCTACCCCCAATACCCCAGTCACTGAGTCAATCCATCTCATCATGGTCTTCCTCTCCTCTGCTGTCTCTCCATACTTCCAAACATGACGTCCCTCTCCAAGGACTGGTCCCTTCTTGAAATATGACCAAAGTATGTCAGATGAAGCCTCAGAATAAGACCACTATTAAAAAATCTAAAGAAAAGGTTACATGTGTTCTTAGGGCGCTCTGGTGACCTAGTAGGTAAGGAGTTGTGTTGCCAACATGAAGGCCTCTGGTTCAAGCCCACCGGCTGCCCCACAGAAGAAAGATGGGCAGGCTCCTCTCATGCGACTCTGAGCCTCTGAAAACCTGCTGGACGGTGAGCAAGGAGTCAGTCCTGACCTGTTGGCATAGACCAGCAACAACAGAATCATTGCTGGGTGTTACGGGGAAGGGAAGGAGGCAGAAAGCAGCTCCTCACTGGGGTTTCTAGGGCTGCAGATCACAGGGCAGGAAACTGCCATCTTTCAGCCAGTGGATTTGAATTGCCCAAGGGTGCAGCCTCGGGCCACCCACCTTGTACTATGCCAAGGGAGCTAGAAATTGACAACAGGCACTTCTCTAGGTGGGTGGAGGGGAAGGAAGTGCACAAGGGGAGGACGACCCCACGCTGTGGGCACTGCAATGAGTGTGGAACTAAATGTGTATGAAGAACTGAGTGAAAAGCCTTCATGCTTTGTGAATTTTCACTTAAATCACAATAAAAAATAGTTTATAAAACCTGCAAACTATAGCCAAGTTAGAAAATGTTGGGCATTTATGAGGAAGTAGAGACTAGGGACCCCTGAGAAAGTGCCTTTAGCACCTAGGGGGGTACTCAGGTGATGGACACAAGAGAGCTTGATTGCTCAGCACCCAGCCTGTGGTCAGCACACGCTGGCCTGAGGGGCAGGTGCCTGTGGTGAGCAGTCAGCATGTGCTGGCCTGAGGGGCAGTGGTCTGTGGTCAGCTGTCAGCACATGCTGGCCTGAGGGGCAGGAGAGGAAGCACCTTTCCAACACCAGGGGAGGAAACGGCTTTGAAACATCCTGTGGTTGTGTCTCCCCATGCTGCTGGCTGGTGTTACCGCTAGGCATGTTCACCATGAGCCCCACGTAGCTGTCCCAGGGGCCCAAGGAGGAGGGACA